CGCCTGTGGTTCCTTTTTTAAATTTGAACGTAAGACGAGAAACCATGGGATACGCGCCAACAAAGCAGGCAACCAATCACGTCGGTCGATAACTCAGCAACGGTCGCATGTAATTGGCGGGAAAGACTCCGTGCAGGGGACAGCCAACTCGGCATGTCAAAATCTTTTTTTAATATGCAAAAATGCGGCGTCAGTTTGTGATTTTGGTTTTCAACGGTCTGAAATTGTCTTATTGAGGGAGGGAATGAAAATAATTTCAATAAAATTGCAACAACAAACCAATTATTTTGCTGATTCCCCGAGCTGTATTCGCGAAAGCCTACATGAAGTACACACTGTTATTGGTCACTAAGGTGCATTCAAGTTGCGTGCGAATGGGGGCATTTTCGAAAGTTTAACAATGATATGGAATAAATTTCATCTAGCATAAAAATAATCGGTGCAAATACTTTGTATCATGCGCTAAAACTAGTTTTGTGTGCAATTGCCACCAAGCGTGGAATCCTTGGAAAATTTAAGTGCGTTTGGATGGTTAAAGCCATGTGAATTGTAGTTTTATTACGCCCACACTTCTTCGTCACGCAATCAAAGCAACAAATTTAACTATCAAAATTGTAGCAGATCGCGTTCATAAATAAATTGTCAGTGGATTCGAAAACATGTTTAATATTAAAAAGGCAAAAATTCAATAGCGCAAAAAAATTGAGAAAGATTTGAATTTCTTTGTTAGACGCTTGCTCCTATGTGATCTGCTAAGCAAAAGGCACATTAGTTTGAATTTACCTACACAGCTACTCGCACAACAAATTTTCGTGAACATCAAGCAATCTGGTCTTTACTGCCATGAGCAGTAATCTTCGACGTGTTAAGATCGTCTTGTGTATTGCGATGATCCACACCCGTTGATCCGGTCACGCCATCTTTCAACACAGTGTCCCCCCTTTTGAAGCATGTTGCCAGCCGAACGGATCCTCAACTCCCTTACCCTAATTAGCGAGAACGATTATCCGAGATTATCCTCATATCTGCGTCTCGATGTTAGCCCATTTATGACTTACGCACCCGAGCTACAAATAAACACACAGAAATGTCACCCACGATGCAACAACGCCAACGTAGTTAAACCCTAAAGAAAGCGGTTGTGTCGATGTGACTGTAGCAGACAACCAGCTTCTTCAAATCGTTATCTAACTGTATTTTTGAGGTCTATACAGTTCTCGAATTAGCTCTAATCACACTCACCGCCTCCGCAGTTGTTGTCCTTGCATTCCATGATTGCCACCTATCAATGACACTTTCCACTAGACAGATTTATGCCTTAAAATACACGATAACCAGGCACTGGAAGCTGTGATTGATCAAAGATGCAAACGATTTTAGGAACTGTACTATAAGTAAGTGACTCCTGATTATTCGACTGTGTTTGGAATTTAAATTATAGCTAGATATGTAATCTTGTTTGTAGAAACATTAGTAAAGCTTGCTCTTTTTAAGATAAAAGGACAAATATCAAACCGAATTAGCTCTTCTAGGGTAACTGCAGTAACCGTTTAGCTTGAAGATAGGTTGAGAATAAAGCTGACCCAAAAGGTTCAAAATTCAATTAGGAGAGTTACGCAGATCGCCGTTTAATCGGTGGAAACGTTTTTTCCACCGTGAATGTCCCTGACGGTCAGCATTCCCGCAAGACAATGAAAAACAGGGATTGTGAAACTTTAAATAATAAAGAATAGATATTTTAAAAGAGCCTTAGAGACATGTCAGCATAATATCAGCTATATTTTTATCGTAGCCATAGGTTTACAAGTAAAGAGCTTTTAAAAAGAACTTTAAAAAACGAGTCGAAAAAGATAAGTGTACCCAGAACCTGATAGCCAATGGTGGGTAAATTTACGTTTTTGGTTCAAGATTTAAATTGATTAATTTTAAAAGAGCCTATAATGAGCGATTGAGGTTTAACCAGCATGTGGTTCGAGTAGCAAAAAAAAATATATTGAAAAAATTTAAGACCAAAATGTCATAAAACGGTTGTGTTCTCATTGATTAACAAATTGATTAAAAGATTTTTATTTAGAAAATTTAGTGATTAAAACCAACAATTTTTTAAGCAGAAAATTTCCACAGTCACCTGACAATCAGTAAATTAACAGTTCTAGGCCAGTGTTTTAGTGTTGTAATATTTCAAACAAACTGACTGATAGTTTACATGACTAATTTATGTACTAATACCTTTGCTAAGCAAAACATTAGAATTAATTTAAAAAAAAGGAGAACAAATGTTGTACTCCAAGATTATTTACAAAACCACATGCATTTAAACTATATTAGTGGAGATGCGATAAAAAATATAATACGTCTCAAAATGATATGCAAAAACCGACTCTTCTGGTTTCATAATTTTTTAAACTAATTTTAGAGACATGCATCCTGTTTAATAGCTCATAAGATAATAACATAATCAGAGAGAATTTCGTTCATTTAAAGTTTTTCCCTCGTTAGAACATATGTCTAAAATAATGACTAAATATTCTACATAACAGCTTTCACAAATCTCAAATAAAACAAAATATGCACTATGGTGTAAATATATGTATTTTAAATATTTTAAATTTTAAACGCAATGTTGCCTTGTTTTAGTTTATTTGTTTTTTTTTGATAAATTTTAACTAGCTATTTCTTCCAATTAAAATTAAGCAAGCTATTTTTTACGGTGTGCTTTAATTTCTTGCCCCTATCTTGATTAATTGTTGCTTCCCTTCGGTAGTATTGTCTTTTACTGTGTTGCAATTTAAACGGTCGTTTTTGTAATGGGTTCATAAAATAGGTGTTTCTTCCACTGCTTCAGTTTTATTCACAATAATGCAACTTTTTATTAAAATAATGTTTTATAGTCCATATGAATTTGTCCTTACTTGATCATTCGAGTGCCACAAAGTAAACTTATACATGTTTTACAGGTTCTATTTCTCTAATTTTAATGAAAACCGTTTCGAACCTCGAAAAATATAGGTGGCTGGCGCGGTACCATTATTCTCTTTTCTTTTCAGAAAGAGATTTAGATCTGTGCATTAGTTCCGCTAATGCCAGTGTACGTGCCTTTTTAAATTTTAAGGATTGGTGGTTTGGTCAGTCCGTGGTTATTTGGCGTTTGGTGTGTTAATTTTCATGAGATTGGCAACGACAATATCGACGTAGGCTTTTAAGACAATCATTAATCGTTATTTTAAGGGAAAGATTTGTATATCTGGCTTTGCCATCTTTTAGGTATGGGTGTTCCAGGGTTATGGCAACTGCTTGAGCCCTCTCGTCGCGTCGTTGACTTGGAGCAGTTCCGAGGAAAGCGAATGGCCATTGGTAGGCACCTTCACAGCTTCTTAGCACCATCTAGATATGAATATCTGGCTTCACCAGGCGTTAAAGTCTCGAGTCAGCACCTCAGGCAATATCAACTATCATCTAGCCATCTTATTTCGTCGAATATGCAAGCTCCTCTTCTACGGCATCCGACCTGTCTTTGTTTTCGATGGAGCCGTTCCAACACTTAAGAAGACAACAATGGTAGGTATTCTTTACAACTAAGCAGGTCCCTCATTTCTTTATACTAGGCAGCACGTCATTCGACTCGACAAGCACTGCAAGAGAAGTCACTGCAAGCCCGAAATCGTTTGTTGAAACGTCTATTTCACCGATTGGCGGAAAGTGCCATCAAATCGAAGAATCCGAGTGTAGATTTGACTGCCGAATTTGTGCGCAGATTCAATAACACTGAGGCGATGCGAAAGGCTGAACAGGACGCCGAGATGTTTGGATCGAAATCCGCCATCGAAGTGCAGTAAAGTTGCCTCTGTCTCATCTGTCACGTTTTTAGTGCATCCTCTGGACCGACGCTCACGACACTCGAATTAGAAGAAGAGCAGAAAGCAGCCTTCGAGTTGGCCCGCGACTTCCTCGTAGGTTTGGTTTGCTTCCACCAGTAAACCTCTGCGCGATTCTAGGATAATTGTCCACCGGCCGACGGCTTTTTTGATTTTGAATCCGAAGCGTACACTTCCCTACCGATCCCCGCTCAACTGCAGGTCATCCGCATCCTTCAGGACCGATTAACCTCAGCCTATGATGGCTCTCCCGAGTCTGTCAGTAAAGCCTCTTTACTGTAAAATTATGTCTACTAAAATATGTTTTACGTAGGCGTTTATTTTAGTCACAGTCTGGCGAGGCATTCTCAACAGCTCAAGTCAACAAGTTGATAATGCGACGCGACTTGACTCGACGCAAAGTTGTGCTTCAGCAGATGCTGAACGAGAAGATGGTTTCTGCGGTGGTTCCAAAGGAGCTGGTCGAGGATGGTGATATTGACGTTACAGCTCGTCGTATCGCTTCCCAGGACAAGGGTCACACCATCCTATTGAGGCGGCGGTCTTCAAAAGAACTCAAGGACGAAATTAGGGAGCGTCTACAAAGGTACGCGACGCCTTTGGCACTTAAATCGATTTAGCCTCATTGAGACTCCAATCAAAGAAGCTGGTTCTGATGATGATGATGATGATACCAGTCCTACGAAACCCCCGCAAACCAAGATAGAGGAACCGTCCGATTTCGATGCTGAATTTGCCGACTTTAAGCCAATCAAGTTGAAATCAGATTCTGAATTGCCTCCTGCCCCTGACGTCCATGTCGGTGACGTCTGCTTTGAGCCGGTAAAATCTGAGTCAGACGACCTTTGCGTGGTTGATGACGTTAACTCGAATGTCGCGGTCGAACGTGACTCATCTGTGTGCAGTGACCTCGAGGAAGTTGTGACCAAAGCCAGTAGAAACGCGCCGGTCGAAAACATCGATGTCGTGGAAACCGAGGCGGTCAAAACCACTGGGCTGTTTGATTCGGCGGTGCAAGATCCGGGCGAACACATTCAAGAACCTGACCTCTCTGAACCCGTTGTCGATGTGCCTGTCGCTCCACAAGCTTCGGAATCCGAGGAAAGTGATGCGGATGATTTTGAAGACGTCGGTCCGATTTCGCAGGAGCCACGCTTCGCTTCGGCGACATCGTCCGCTTCGGAGTCTGACGAATTTATCTCCATAGCATTGCCCAGCACGCAAGTCTTCCTCGACGACAGTCCCGACGAAGATCAGTTTGAATTCGATGACGATTTCTTGCGAGCCGAGGCAGACAAATTTGAGAGGCAGGCACAGGACACGTCAACAAGTTGTCTAAATGAAGCCCAGGTAAAAACCCAAGGCCTGTTCCATGGTATTCCAATTCTGCTGTCTAGCCCACTGTGCTTGGATTCCTCTTTAGCGATTGGTCACTCTCTTCGGCTTGCCCATCGTCCAGAGCCCTGAGGAGGCCGAGGCTCAGTGCTGTAGCCTTCAGGCGAGCGGTTTGGTCGACGTCGTCGCCAGTGACGACTCTGACGTCTGGCTGTTTGGCGCAACATGCGTCTGTCGACATCTATTCGGCGGTTCTGGGAAGAAAAAGGACCATGGCAACGCCTACTTGTATTCCCTGAAAGACATTTACGAACGGCTAGGTGGGGTGCGACACGAAACTCCCTTTTTTTTAAACATCGATCTGCTCCCAGGAACTCGTTGTCTCCCCTGCAGGTCTAGACAGAGCGCAGTTCCTGCGAATCGCCCTGCTGTGCGGCAGTGACTACACCCGCGGCATTCCCAAAGTCGGTCCAGTGACAGCTCTGGAGATCCTCGCCGAGTTTGCGTCATCTGCCGACGCCGTGGAACGCGCAGATCCTGCGGACGACTGTGCGCGCAAGCACCGCGATCGATTGGTGCTCCAGCCGCTTGTGGAATTCAGGTGCTTACAAACCCCTCTCCCCTCCCTAACCGCATGCTTCTTTTAGAAATGCCATCGACGCGGCGAAGAGCACTCACGAGGCAAAGAAAAGTGCTCCCAGACGAGGAATTTCCAAGTGGCGCAATCTCCAAATTCCTGTCGGTATGGCTCGGTTCGTTGGGACTCGCATTCACTCTAATTCTAGGCTTCCCCAGTGAAACCGTCGTAGAGGGGTACCTCTATCCCAGGGTGGAGTCGCTGACCTCGGCGGATTTTCGGTGGGATGTTCCAAACTTGTCGGCACTCGTGAAATATCCTTTTGAAGTTGGTTAAGTATTTCTGTGATCACAACGGCGTGGTAGATTTTGAATTGGTTGCCCGGCAACACTCAACAGGTACCCATTCTGGATTTGAATTGGCATCTCTCATGTTCAAAATGGGGAAATCAGTTTGTCCGGACAACCGTAAACTATTGTTTTTTTTCACAGTTTTGCAAATTAAATCACCGTATCCAGTTACGCACGTTACTCGTGTCAATTTCTTTAACTGACCAATCGTTGGCTTGCACGTATGCAATGGAGAAGCTTGGTTGGTCGAAAACAATGAGTGAGGGCACGATCTCCTCAGTTATTGGCAAGTTCAAGGACAGCCTCAGTGACTCGTCCCCAGGCAAACGGACGACTTGCATCACCGAATTTTTCCCTCGAAAGTTGGCCGTGAAGCGGTCTTCTGTGGAATCGCAAGAGCCTGATTCACCAAAGGTATATTAGTCGTAATTGAATGTCCCGTGGGGTCTAATACTGGTCAGTCGGTCTACTGAATTGCAAAAAGTAGTGTGCTCTGGTAAATGAATACAGCCTACTAAGCACCGTTTTCGTAGTTAAGTTGGTGGTAGGCATCAATAGTTATCAGGGGCTATCGTGATTGGTCGGAAACGCTTGGTGTATTTTGACTTTTTGTTTTGTGCGCACTAGAAAATAAACCGGTTGACTCGAGCAACGACACGCCTGAGATATGCCTCGGAGTTGAAAGGTCTTCCTGACCTTGACTCCGATTGGTCGGATGGTCACCTTGGCGACGACGAGCCTCCCAAGGCGACTCAGAAGCGGAAAACAAAGTCACGGAGTGACGCGTCCTCGTCTTCAAAAGGTTCGATCAATAATGCTACACCCATTAATCAACCCAGCAGAATCCGTGAATCGTCCTTGTCCAATTTGTCCATTTTAGCCTCAAGGTCAACGAGGAAGAGAAAGACCTGAATCTGCACAACGAACAACAACCCACCTGTACATACGCCCTTTTCACATGCTTGGAAGTGCTTTGATCAAATAAACGCGTGCTTTTCTTCCAACTGAGCATGTGGTGTTGCCTGGAGACGCGAAAAACTAGTCTTTTTAACGACATCAAAGCTCGTTGTCGCATCACGCAGTCTCGCTATGTGTGTTGGTGCATTATTTTATCTTCGACACTGACCTAATAACGACTACACGAAGTGTAACCTGGTAACATGGATTCTGGGATTGCTCATGTCGCTTCCTCCTTGACCAATCGCGTTCATCCAGAGTTCAAGGTTGTGGTGTCGCAGGTCAACTTTAGTAAATCGTATTGAACCCCGAAAAATAAATTATTTCTTTTTTTTGCAGAAACAAGTTGGACTTATCGCGGACGGAGCAAGTGACGAACGTGCACTCTTAGTAACACAGTTGATCTAATGACCTGAGTGTACGGTTTGGCACGCACGCACGCACGCCTTCTCCGCGTGTTGGTGCTTTTCGAGAATTTGTCGTGATGAGTTCGTTTGGTCTAGGTGCGAAACTGGAAGCTGGATTCGATCGTGTGTCGGTTAAATTCACTTACGGCTGTCTGATTGGACAAGTTCAGAATTTTCTTAAATCTCTCAAAGTGAAGACCTTCATTGATTGGCTGAGTTGTGGCACATGAAGACGGTTTAATTGTGTTACGTCCATTGTGGACGATTTTTGCACCAAAACGAGGCCTCTCTCGATGCCGTGAGTGTGAACAACGAGACTTGTGTGTGGCGACGCTTTGGCAAGAGTACATGACGAGTTCAAAGTCTGCTGTGAATCGTGTTTATTCACTCCCTTAATCCGGTCGCCCCGCCCCCTACACAGGGTTCCCCTTGTCGCGGCCTGTCGCCAGCCTCGCAAATCTTCAACTCCCCCTTCATTAGCACAAACATTTATCTTGGAGCATCCCCACACCTAGGTCTCGATGTTAGCGCGTGTATGACTCACGCATCCGAGTTACAAATGCACACGCGCGAACCTCACACACGACACCACCGTGGTTGAGCTCTGAAGTAACCGGTTGTGTCCACGTTCTTTCCAGGTCTTTTTCTTCACCGCGGGTATCAGGGAAGCGTAATCGGACCAGGGTTAATTCCGTGGCTCCAGCGTGGTTCAGGACCCCATGTTGGGGCCCACAGCAGGTCCTTGCTCAAGAAACATGTCAACCAGTGGCTTGTCGACGGTATTCGACAGCTGGAATGATCTAGTAGGCTTCAGAATTGTTAGGGCTTCGAGTATCTACCAGCACGTCCACAGCGCAATCAGGTGGCTTTAGTCTAGCAGGATCGGCTCACAGAGCTCCAACTGTGAATTAATTCATCGACTACTTTCACCACTAACAGTTCAAGAAATAGCATTCAACAATGTACCACTTCAGTTCTTTGCCAAACTCACAATCTAACTCGCTGATGTTGGAGGCCCAGAGATCTTCCAAGCACTCAAATTTTCACTCAAAGGTAACGAAACACGCGGCCTAAACGCACGCTTCTACTAGTAAGCCTCGTTGGTAATCGATACCACGCTGAGCGCTAGTGGGACACCACGACTCGCGATCACATCGCCACCAATTCACAGCCCCAGAGAAAAAGCAGAACTCAGGCCTGGAATTCAAAAGCGGCTATTACGGCAAGATAGGTACAAAAAGTACGCGGTAACTGGTGCTAAGACGTGCGAGAAACAACCACCTCAAAAACGGTTACACAGACAAACTTTTAGGCATTAGACGGGGGGAGGGGGCGGGTAGAGGAACCGGTTTGCAGATAGGTAGGTGAGTGGAACTTTGGCTCTTGACTAGGGTTACCAAACGAACCCCCTACTGTGTCCACCTTACAGCAGCATGCTAGCAGGTGATTCGATGAAGCTCTTGAACTCCTTCAGCCACGTCGCTCCGACGGCTCCATCGACTACGCGGTGATCGCAGCACAACGTCACCGACACCTTCGTCACTGTTTTGTGGCTGCAAAGCAACAAAAAGGCATCATGAAGTCTGGGTCTGGGTGAGTGTCCACCGCTGCTAGCCAATGAGAAACAGCGTCTGGAAGGAACCGGGCTTACCAACAACCCTCGTCGGGCACCACGACCTGGTGGGATGTTCCGACGGAGAGAATGCACGCCTGCGGTGGGTTAATGATTGCGCTGAAGGATGAAATTCCGAACATTCCCAAATTGGAGATTGTTATTGTGCCACCCTGAAAGCGCAAAACACACGAATAACCACATGTCCAGCCTACTTATTCGACAACCAGCGACGAGCTCTTCCAATCGACGGCCGGAGTTGTAAAAAAAACGGGGCATTTCTTTCCTGCACAGGACAGACCGGTGGTGTGAAATCGGTCGATTGGCAGTCGACAAGCACAGATGCACGCGCGCACACACACACGCACGCACATTTCTGACGTCAGTCGGTAGCGAAACAATCCTCTGCTGCCAACCACGTCGACTGGCGCGCGCACACACACGCGACCAGATCGCAACACTAGGCGGTTTGACCAACACAAAAGCCTCGTTGGCAGGACTTGTGTGACATAACGCCTAGAAATAGTCGTTCAGGCAACTCCGACATAGGCACACGCAAACCTGAGGTGTGCTTAACCAAACTGGCGTTAGAAAATAAGACACAAGTTAAAGATATCGACAGGCGTGTGCATGCGAGTCTTGATGAATCGTCATTGGGGCGAGGCGACGTCTTGAGAGTCAACAAGGTGCACCCAATAAGTCTTCGCTGCTGGTGTGCGTACACACATCAAAACGTGTTTACGTTAAACCGCTTAGCGACCTTGTTAGCACCGGTTAGATAAGCTTTACACAAAGGCCCTGAGCGGCATAAAAAGAATCACATGCAAAAGAGGTGTTTTTGGTAGGCAGGAGGAAAGGAATTGCATACCTGGAACTCCTCCGGCTTCAGCTTGTTGTCGCGAGCTCTGGCGGCCAAATCTCGGACCTCCTGGCTGATCGTGAGGAGACCCTGGAAGCAAAAAAATCATTGTGAATCAGCTGATCACAGCGCGAAAGACGGATAGACGCATTCAAGGAAGGTACCTTTGTGTCGGCGTTGAAGATTATGGGAGTAATGAGGCCAGTGGGCGTGGCAACAGCAACACAGACGTCAGCCGAGTCGTAGCTGAAGTGACAGACAACAACACAGTGGCATGAATACGCCACGACCGCCTTTCTGGTCTACACGCGAACACACACACACACACTCACCGTCTGATGAAATCGCCCATCCAGGAGGAGTTGCAGTCGGGTACACGCTTGTTGGCCAGTGCCATGGCCTTGATGAAGACGTCGTTGACGGAGATTTTGGCCGGCTTCTCTCCCGGAACGGCCAGTTTGGCCAATGAGGCGTTGACACTATCGCGGAACTTGAGTAACTCATCGAGTTCAATGTCCACTGTAAGGTAGTAGTGAGGGATGGTCTGTTTGGACTCAGCGAGTCGCTTAGCGATAGTCTGGAGGGTAAGGAGGACAAGATTCTGGTCAGAAACAGATGAGCACTTTTCGGTAAGGGACCAGCGAACTACTGGGGGGCTACGGGGTTGTGGGTCGTGTTACACGGTCTGCGCCATAACAAGTTTGCAACACATTCCACCTTAACATTGGACTTGATCAAATGGCTTACAGCACGCATTCCGGTTGTCGGAATATCAGTCCAGGTGGAGGTAGGCGTTGGGGCGAAAGCGGCGAGGTTATCGAGATCAGCCAATACGAAACACCCGTCGACACCACTACCAGTGCCCGTGAGAAGTGATAGGTCTATCCCCCGTTCTCTGGCTACACGGCGAGCAAGGGGAGAGATGAAAACGCGGTCTCCCGAGGGAGGAGAAACGGGCTTGGCTGCAGGAGGTGCAGCAGAAACAGCTGGTGGTGTAACTGGGGTGGCAGGCTGAGCCGCAGGTGGAGGTGGTGGTGGAGGAGGTGGGGGCGCAGCAGCAGAGGCCGTGGGAGGTGGTGCCTACAAAAACGGAAGAAACCGATGAATATTTGGCCATGCATGCCTAACCACAACCTAGCTTGAGAAGTCGGCAGTGGTTATTTAAAATAGCAAATTCTGGGTAACCAAAAAGATTCCGCTGCGACGTCATTTAAATTTCAGAAGAATAACGGACACCTTTAGTCTAAAAAGGCAACACCATTTGTTGCCAGACGAAATGACAAACTAAAATACAGGAGATACTGTGAGAAGCACCACGAAATCAGACTTTAGTGAAACAGGCGAAAACGGCTTACCGCTCCAGCTTCGGGTTGATAATCTTTAAAAGCTCCGACTGATGCTTCATCTCCAACAATAACTACAAGCGGCTAAACAGGAATGTTAGACGAGAATGAGATAATCCTACAGATCCGACGGGGACATTCTTGGTACCGGCGGGAATAAGAATTTTAGCAACATATCCTTCATCGCTGGAATCCATGGACATGGTGGCCTTATCGGTTTCGATTTCGGCTAGCAGATCACCCTCGCCCACTTGATCGCCTTCGTTCTTTGCCCAGCTGACAACGTTGCCAGTCTCCATGGTTGGAGACAAATTAGGTAGTTTCACAACAACATGAGGAGGCAACGCTGAAAAAAACTGCATCAAAACAAAAAAACAGTAACTCACATGAGAAGAAGCGCGAAAACTTGAGGTAGTTTTGAGGGAGTCCAACGAGAACATGATTACTAGGAGGTAAGTTAACCATACTTTACGTACCGACGATCTCCAAAAAGAGCATTAGGTGTCTTTAAAGAGAATGTTTGGTAAAACTTTGAAGAAGAAACAAGAGGAAGAGCTCTCCCCCGTAAAGTACGACACGACAGCACGGCACCCCTGCACAAAGCCATGATTGTACTGAAAACAAATTGCGCGGGAAGAGTTATCCATGTTGGCTACGAAATTACATATATTATTCCTTAAAAAGACCAATTTACAAACTAAAAAAAATTTCCAGCACAATACAAAATATTTGCTTTTAAATACCTTGCTAAAAACACAGATATATAGTATTATTTGACCCTGTTATTGTACTAATTTTGAGTGTCAAGCTTATTCAAATAAAACCAATAAGAAAGTAAAATTTTCTACCTATGAAGAATACTACGGGTTGGTACTTTCAGGAAATACTTTGCATAATCAACTACACTTTACCCTAAAATCGAACGTAAGTGGGGCGGTTAACCTATGCAATTGAATTTAATTTGAATAATATTCATGTTGCAAGAATGCTGAACGAATAAACTACCTCAAGTTTTGTATTCTTTTTTTCGCTGCAATATTAAACTATATTGCTGCTTAAAGAAAAGCGCGGAAGTTTATTTCTGGGAACGGTAAAATGGAGTTTGGTTGCCTTTTTAAAATATTGAATATATCAGAATAAAAAAATTATTCAGAAAATGTTTTTTTTTCAACGGAGCAGTGGCTATTTTATGTAACCTTTTTTAGCATTACTACAGTTAAATAATAGTTCTTATTTTTGTATTAAAATTAAAATTGCCATATCAGACCTTCGTTACCATTCATAGCATTATTTTTCAATTCGGAAAATGAAGCTTCTTTTGGATTGAATTGTTTCTACCTATGTGACACTCTAAGATTACAGTAACTTTTAATTGTATATACAAATTCTCATTATGGTTAATATCACTGCATCGCACAGGCAAAGATTAACTTAATTATCAGAAAAGTCACTCGAGCTTCTTCACGTGCAATAACCCAGCCGTCTTACTCCCCACCACTTCGATCTCATTTTCACCAAGTCCCCATCGATATTGCGAACGCGTCAGCTCATACACCCCTTATGTATTTGCCTCCTCAAACGCTTGTGTTGCCTGTCTTTTTGATCTTCTCGGGTGTCAGTGTAGGGAAAACTGGCAAAACTTAAAATGACTATTTTAGTCTAGTTCAAGACAAAATTTCAATGTACGCTAATATTTAGTCAAGCTACATTGCAATCAACCCCTGCTCCAACTCCTCACATGCACTCTTTACTCTAATACATTGCCTAATATCACATCACAGTGTTTTTACTTGTTGCAGGTTGTCATTTTTTGAAGAAATTCTCACACATGATTTAATTTTTTTTTTCAAATTTCCCATGAAACCACAACCACGTCAAACGTTCTGGATCCCCTTACACAAGAAGCAAGTTTGTGGGTTTCTCCATTAAATCTGCGAAAAATCTTGACTAATCTAATCACCTAATATTTCTTAGCAAAAACAACTTAAGTCTTTAAAGATTCTAACACCGAATCTGATTTATAAATTTTAGATTCAATTAACTTGTAAGGTAGCCCTTCAACTATAAAAAATGTAAAAAAACACACTACTTATTATGATTATGTAGGAAGTAACTTGACATTTTAAACATGAAATGAGTACTGTTCTATTACAAACGGTGACTGGTTGTATAGTGGGGGAAAAATCAATGCAAAAAAGGCCGGGGTGTGTGGCGGCCTAAAGGAAACTGCCGTACTCGTCACACACGGAGTAGCAGAGCAGATGGAGGCTGGCCGAACAGGAGGAGATTTCGTTGACGACCTGCCCGGATTGGTAGTCGAAGGCGAACACGTTGGCGACGTCCATGAAGTAGCTGGAGAGCCAGTGCTCGCACGTCCTACCATAGCCATCGCCCAGCCAAAAGTACTTCCAACTCCTTTTAAAGTACACAATCACGTGAGCTAGCTGAAAAAGCTACATCTAGCATTGATTTTTAAAACTACACCAGAAAAGCCTCACCATCTGGGACCGATGTGGTCTTTTGTGCCGTCCATTGCAATCAGTGGGTGATCGGTAATTTTCCCATCAATGAAATCTCCCCACGTTTCCGCCAGCAAATCGCCCTAGGTGCGATGCAGAGGCGGTTACTTTGAATTACGATATAAAGACATCCTCTATTGACCTTGATTGATACTCTTAATCACAAGTAGAGGTTTCAATCGCACAAATTATTGACTTTTAAATTAGTCGACCCCAGCAAGGAGCCACAAGCAAACTAACAGTTACCTCGATGTTAACAACAGACAAGTTGTACATGTGTTTGGGCAGAATCTTCGAGAGCGGTCGATTGTGCGTGGTGAGGAGGGCACGGAAGCCGCCATCGGCGTGGAACGCCTGGCCGGACTCCCGACAGGCTCGTTCGGCGTTCGCGAATCCATACAACTCGCCGCCTTGAATTTTGCGCGGGTAGGGCGCCAAGAATATCTTGGAAACCGACAAACAACATTCAACCAATCAGATTCACAAGCACTGGCGTACCTTTAATTTTGAAGATGATGAAGTTCTCGTGGGGTGGACACTACTTCTAACCTCGATCGCATATACTACTGATTATTACAATGAGCAGCCATAATTTTTTTTTAAAAAAAAGTTTTCACCTTTTTAGTATAATCGGTTGCCCGGTTGCTCTTGAGGTAGTGTTCAGATGTGTCGTCCTTAATAAAAGCAAAGCGTTTTAATCAGAATGAAATATCTCTCTGTTAGGTTAAAAAGGGAACAAAAAATACGCAGCTTACCTGTGGTTTTGGAAAAGCGACTTCTTTGTCAAGTTTCTGTGTGGGAAAAGACGGTGTTTTTGTAAGTCAAATTTGGTAGGCAATTGGCGTTATTATCAGTCTAGGCACACACACTCCTCTCTTTGCTGATTGGCCTATCTTGAAAAGCAGAATATCCAATAATCGAATCGGAACAAGGGCCCAGTTAAATAATTAGGTGTTTTCGAGATTCCAATTTCACTAAAATTGACTTCAACGCAGAATTATAAATGCTAATTTAGACATCATCAAAATGCGACTGATCACGTGTTAAACACTTTGAAAAATCCCACTTTCGTCTGCACCACGTGATTAGATTTACTGCGGCGAAATGTTGTAACGCTTCATCTCGCGCAAGTAAATGGCTCTCGGTTTTGTAATTTGTGGAATAATGCATTAAAACAAAACGGAGCTTCCGTACCCATGGCAACAGCATCCAGACTTTGTCTTTGTTAGCGAAGTCGGTGGCAAAGTTGACTTGAGGCTTCAGAAGAGACTGACGTCTACCATTCAGCGGCGTCCGTGATCTCAGACGGTCCTCCAAGCATTCAAAAATTGCAAAAATCAATAATTTTGTGATTTATACTCTGATAACCTCACGATAACCTATGACAGGCGAAGCTAGGCGTGACTCCAACGTGAGAATGTCAACACGGGTCTTAAGGGAACACGGGTAGTTCCTGCATCGTCTACGTTACTTTTGAAATTAAAAAAACTATACTACTAAAAACTCACAACATTATCCGAAGTCTTGATGCTGTCCAATTGAGTGTCTTCCTGCCACGGGTCATACTGCAGCTAAAACAGAAAATTTTGATTGGCTGAATCCTTCCAAATAACCAACATTCCGCGGCAAATACCATCGGGATCATGTTGTGTGCGCGTAGGGTCTATTAATCAAACCGAAGCACTGATCCTCTCATCTATGATCGTAGGAAAAACGAGGTGGCATTTTCACAAGTCGGCAAATTACCATCAACTCTGTTCACACGCACGCACGCACGCGCGCACCACTTGCGTCTCACGACCTAGAAGTTCGGTAATTCCAGGAACACTTTATCAAGGCCTCGTACACTGGCACACGACGACTCGACAACCAACCACATGACACGCGTTTTCATTTCGACTTGCCGGTTAAGTACAAACACCCTGGTGTAGTGTGTGGGAAATTGACAAATAGTAGCGGTGGAGCTGGCGTGGTCGGGCAATTCTCGTGGGGTTGTCGTTCCCAGACAACCCACAAACTACTGCCAACATTCAACCACATTCCGGCAGATCTACCTCGACCTACCGACATTTTAAAGTGGAATGTATGTCCGAAAACCGCTCAGCTTTCTTTATCTAGGCAGAGTTCAAAGTTGCTTTGACCTTTACCCAGGTCACGCATTCAAAATCAATAACTATTTTTCATGAACCAATCGAAGTGTGCTTATCCTTCTTTATCTAAACTGCTCTTCGAGAATCGAGGAGGCAAATTTTGAAGTTTTGAAAAAAATATTGATTAAAAAAGTGGTTGCATTAGGTAAGCGACGACGAAACATGGTTTTTCAAGTAGGCTTATTAAAGTGAAGCCAATTGCGGTTTTGGTATCTCTTAAATTAAAAGGTTGTTAGACACTTTCATGACTTAAAAATTTAGTCGATATCTAATTCCTACGTGACGATTTAGCCAATCAAATCAGGGCAAGGCGTTCCCACCTACCACAGGCAAGCGGTATCAATTGTCTTGACAAAAACCTTATAAATCAACCTGTTTCATGTTTAAAGCTCCTTTATCTATAACGTAAATTCCTCTAAAGTCGACCAATCAATGACGGACTCACTTTAAAAGTCGCCATTCGATTGGACGCCGTGCCTGAACTACCCAATTGGTTAATTCTATTATCAAAATTGACTATCCGTGTGTGCGTGTGTATATGTGGAAAAGCTACCTTGTTCAAATTAGTGACCACATTTTTTTTTACTAAACTCACAGAATTTTAAAATTTCTTTATAATTTCATGTGCGTTTAAGGCAAAATCAGGGAATTTTAACTGCATTGGTTTGCAATTATTCGACATGTTTTGAGTTGTCAAGACGTAAATGCCATCTTCTACGTCACAGCGTCGACATCTGCACTTCAAACCATCCGCAAAGTTAGCGGAATAGTTTGAGCCAGGGTCAGTTGCAATTTTAGAATAAAAATTTAAAAATTGAACAGTCAAGACCAATCCTGACGTATTAAACGCCTAAAATTTGCAAGATAAACAGATTTCGTTTTTTTTTCTCTTGACATTTTCCTATTCGAGGGCTTGAAATAAAAATTTGTTGAACTGACCAATCCACACTTTTCTGCATTATTTTTCGTTATTTTTTTCTGATGCTTCAGCCAACACATTAATTTAATCCAAGCCGCATTCCACCTGGCGATATTTTGGCGGAAAAGTTGACAGAGTAATGGTAAAGAATTTGTTTTAACCAATGTGAATATATTCGAATATCACGTTTGCTTGATGGCAGATTTAAACAACCTTCGTCAATCACAAAACAAAATAAACGTTGACTGCATTTTTTTATCATCTTATTAGTCCCTTCTAGATTTTCTGTGCTGATTTTACGCAAACTCTTCCAAGCAGAAAGAGAGTTTTAAGCAAAAACATCGTTTAGCCGACCTTTTGACCAAAGTAAACTGTCGTCTAGCGATATACCGGCGGAAGATATGTGAAAAAAGGATAAAATGCTGACAGTTTTTTCTTAAATTCAAAATTTAGGAAATTTTACTTCTATACAGCTTTCTATCCTAAAATATTCTCGAAAATGTCTACTTAATTTCTTATACTGCTTACATGAAAAAAAACTTGTGCCGTGAAAACCGCATCTAGCGATATCGGGGCGGAACATGATGGCAGAATGTGCTTCGACTAAATATCGCATGGGCTCGTCTGAAAGCATCAAGAGAACAAAAACCAAACAAACATTGTTCTGGGTTGTAGAAGAAAGCACCCATTTGAGAAAGTCAAATGTTTTTTGCATTTTTTTTGGAAAAACATCGTTGACTTACTTCGGCTGTGACGATTTCGATGCGAAGCGCCGTCAGCACAAGCGCGAAGCTCAACCAGGCTTGCATCAGCACAACACCTCGAGGGTAAATTGGGCACTAAATTTGCGTGTTTGTGAGGGGTTCACCTTGGCCACGTGCGCGCGCGCGTGCGTGCGCACGCACGGAAGCAATTATGTGCTTGTGCGGAAACCAGTAGCTGCATTGGTCCTTTCCTGCGAAAACGGGAGGGAAGGGGGGCCGTAACGAATACAAACACTTCCACAACCCCTACCATAATCACGATTAGCACATGTTCCTTCCTTTTAGTAACGTCAAACAAGGCTGTTAATGTGGAGGCGGCAGTGTGTGGGTTCGGTTTTGTCAATTGTCTTCAAGTCACGCGGGCTGCAACCTTCGCTGACCAATCAGCGACGTAGTCTGCGTATGAGTAGTCTAGACTGCAATTTAATCAACACAAAATGGATGAATCAAATCTTTTTGTTTCGAATTACCACTGTTGATGAAAATTGGGTATTCTGTTTATACAGACAGAACAGCCCAAATTACCATAGTCTGTGTGGTTTGCTCCCATATAGACAAATTATATTGGCATTTTTGGTCCTTCTAGCTATTATTGATAACTTCAATTACTGACCAATCATTTGTGAGGACGCGTTGGATGCGACAATTTGATTGGTCTAAAACAATGTGTGAAGGAACGACCCCTATAGAGCTTAATTGGGTAGCAACTTCACGTATCGGCCAATTTAAGTGGTGAGACTCAGTAAATAGACATTTTTCGAAAACGAAATCTGCCGCTTTCAGCCCAACCGGCAGCTTACACGATCAGATGGAGCGATGGCCTGTGACAGTGAGTACACAGGTTAGTTTAAGAACCTCTCTAAATAGCCTGAAAAAGTGGGAATGAGAGCTGATAGGTGGGATCATAAATTGATTTCTTCGTACTACCTACATTAAAACCTGATTTGGTTAACTGATTTTTTATTTTCGACATATCTCGCCCCGGTTGAGACAGCCACTGCTAAAGAAAAATATACCAGACAACCATTCAAATGACAAAATGCGCACATCTGTTGTGTGACCTTTAATAGAATATTTTTGCCAGAAAAGGGAGCTTCCAATGAATACTTGTTATTTTCGAAATCGCCGAAATTATGCATGGCCTTTGCTCTTTCAAAATGGCACATTTTGTCTTCAAGGTAAAAAGAGCGTGTTTGCAATATTGCTGCGAAGACGTCACCATCGCCTCTAGACCAAGTCCGCAGTGTTCAACTGGACTTGGTGACTGTCTGGCTTAAAACACCAACAATAGAACAAAAGAGACATGTCCTAAACACTAAGCCTTACGGTATGCAATGAATAGCGAGAAATGCAGCTAGTGGCGGATTTGAACAGCGCTCCAACGAAAGTTGCCTAGTAAAACAAGAGGTTATCTGGAAACAACATGACAACTGTTACGCTGTCTGAGTGCAATGAAAGTTTCACGCCGGACCATTCGATGGAAGGTGCTGTGGGGCCTGAATCCACGACGCGTTCAGCGCCTGGAACACAGTTCAAAGGCTCATTCACCATCACGGCGCAAACCGTGATTCCAACTATTCGAAACTGGATCAGACTTCAAGCGGACCTGTCGGACATCCAGCTCAACGTGTCGGGGTTTTCCACACAATTCCCTGACCACGCATTCAGAGCTCCTTACACGAGGTCCTGCCTTGTGTTACATCAGCGTGGGATGGTGGAAGCGTCGGGTGGAAGCGTCGGGAGTGGCGGTAATATGAGGGTGTGGTTCTGGTTGCTGGCAAAGCGCAGAATAGGAAGATCTACCGTTAGGCAGTAACGCTTCTTCCAGTGGCATTCACTTGTTATTTCTCGCAGTGACTGGACTTGCCTAATACTGACATTTTAGGAAGCACCAGGAAGCAGCTTTTGGCCTTTGCTGTAAATATACTGCCTGGATTACGAGCGGACTTTTAACGACAAAAAAGCTTTGACTAATGCTACTGAAGTGATCAGTAGTCTGTTCCTTGAGTCCGGAAAATTTCAGGCCTCAGGCGATCAAGGTGACGGTGGAAAAACCGTCATTTTCAGACTCAAAAGGGAAGCTGCCTTGTAAGAAGAAATCGGTGGTTGTGGTACACCAGCGTTGGGTAATATTAAAATTCTGGGCGTGCAACTTGCATGACTGGCGTCGGAAAAAAACCAATAGGAATCGACTGTGGACTGGACCAATGATTTCACGGCGCGCTGAATTTGAGTACGCGTTTAAGTGGAGAGCAATAACAGTAAAAGCAAACTTGAAAGACTTATGTAATTTGTGCCTTAGACACAGACAACCAAACAAATGTAATAAAATCGTAGATAAAATATCTCTAGTGACGTTTCGAAGGAGGAGATGAGGCGGTATCTCCTCCCTGAAGCCAACTCAAGGTCAAGTTCAAATATCCCAGCAAGTCGACTTAATTTATCGATTAACACTTGGGCAATTTATCGTCCTTGTGACCTTGACGTTTTTTCATGACCATGGCGACAGTATTGTCCAATGAAGACAAAGCGAGCTTTCGATAAGCCCGACTTGTCATTGGTCCATCGTCTAAACAAACAGCTCTCATTGGTCAGTTCGTGTCTACTGTCAGTGTTGCTACGAGGCGGTGGCAGATTAAAGAAATCTGTGACCATCAACTACTACCGCTAGTCGACATAGACATTCCCAGTTGTAGAGACGCCTCCAAATTACTGGATTCAAGCTAGAGAGAGCTGACCGTTATCTTTCCACACACCCCAAACACCCCCAACCTTCCACTACACATCAAAACCAAATTACATGACTAACAGTAAAGTTTAATAGGTTCTCAAATCGGGGGACAGGGGCAGTGAATAAGTACAATAGGAATGAGGAATTCTGTGAGTGGTAGAACCAACTGAGCACACTGTGAATGAATACCTACTCATATACACACACACACCCACGCACGCACACACAGACACTTGTTTACATGTATAAAATCCACAGCACCGGTGGAAGGGAGGAAGAGGGGGGTAAGAAGCATCACCACTTCCTGCGAACCGCCCCGCCACGCCTCGCGGTCTGTGGAGCCTGTCGGCGCGTGGAAGGCGACGGCATCCACTCGTCGTCGGACGCCGAGGCGCCGGGACTGCTTCCGGTGGACATGCGCTCGTCCGAGGTCGAGGATACGCCGTCTTCACCTTCACCCGTGTGCACCCGCTTCCGGCGTTGCGAGGCCGCGCTCTGCGCCGCTGGCTGCCTCGGTCGACTCCTGGAAGACCTGGATGGCTTGCTTCGCTCCGTGGACTGTGCGGTTGTCGACGACTTGGGAGGCGGGGCCGGGGTGACACCCTATCGACACAAAATCTGGGTGAGAATGACTGCTTCGGCGACACTGTCATTCATTCCTTACGTTGCCTAGAATCTCTGTGGTCGCAGACATGTCCTGTTGAACACGTCTAGCGATCAAGCACTGATCCACCCCTCCCTCTCTCCCCCTCCCTCCCAAGGGAACGCATTTACTACCACGCCCCCAGCTAACCACGTGACCCCCCCGGTCAATAAGCGAGGTTACAAGACGCACACTTTTACACCTATAATTGCTTAGTACAGGGGTTATGAGTGAGTCGATCGAAGACGGAAGCAGGCAGGAACAAGAGAACATGCTGGGGGTTCTGGGCTGCAGCAGGCATTACCTCTGTGGAGTCGGGCAACCGCGCTGACGCGGATTGGCTGGATGACGGAGCAGCAGCAGCAGCAGACGTCGTAGGTGGTGGAGGCGGCGGTGAGGCGGTGCATCGACGCTTCGCGGTGACCTTGAAGCGGCTGGAGCTCGCGGAGCGTCCGCCGGAGGAGCCGTGGGTGCTTGCGGACGCGGAAGAGGCAGTCGGTCGCTTGCCGCTACTCGTCGGATTGGCGGGGGTCGTTGTCGTGGATTCGAGAGACTGCGCCACCACTGCTGCTGAAGAGAAGGGAAAAGGCGCGGTTAACCCACCCACACCCACACAGGTAGACAGAAAACCTATGGTGAGAGAGTACTTGTGGGTGGAGTAGTGACGGTTGCGGGCAGAGACTGTGAGGTAGGTAGGAACACGATCCGGTTGCTCTGCGAGGTCAGCGACTCGATCAAGCGGGTTTGAAGGTCGAGAGCAGCAGGGTTCGGATTGGGCGGCACAAGGCCGGCAATACTTGGCTGCCGAACGGCCGGTGGTGCGTCTGTCGACTGAGGTGTTGGAATGACTAGAATCTGGCGTTGGGGTGTCGGTGCTTGATGCTTCGGTGATGGCTGAGGCGGCGGCCGGTGCGGAACTGCTGTCGGTGGGGGGTTTACAGGTATTAGTGGGGGTGGTGGTGGTGGTGGCGGCGCCGGCGGCTGGGGTGGAGATTCTTCCTCGTCCGAGCTCGCGGTCAAATCAACAAAGAAGCTGCACCAAAAACAAAAAACGCGGACGTCAGATTTTTATTCAAACGCAGAAGACAAATCTACGTGAGTTATATAACTTCTCCGCTTACTGATGAACAGCAAATTCGACCCTACTGCATTTTGTACAAGTTCCAACATGGAAAAAGTGCTTCTAAGGCACGGAGGGAATCTGTTTGCAGTGTCCTCGGTGGCAGAAAGGTTTGAGAATTGGTAAAAACGCGGAATTTCAAGCTCTGCCGGATGGAGACTCAAGGCAAACGCCTGCAGTTCAGCGTTTGCAAAAAATGTGAAAAAACCCAACAACTTGGAAGGTGTTTCCCCTCCCCCCCACAAGTGCTGCCAGCTGGACGTCTCGTGGATCACCGTGAAGGGTCGTGAAATGTGCCTTTTTTATGTGAATGCCAAAAGTAAAAGGTCGTGGGTGGATTCCTGGCAACGCTCGCGTTGCGACTCAGAAGACCCTCTTGAACGTAGGATAGAAAGTTCTTCTCCACGCGACATATTCACAAAATGCGGACCCCACTTACGACAACCCAATAGTAGAGAATGTCGGGCTGTACCTCATGGAAGACGACGGCAGAGTCGTCGGTTGGCTGGCGACGCCTGAAGTGGACACCGGCGGTGCTGTAGGCTTCGTCACAGGTGGGAAAGACGGCGGAGGTGGAGAATGAATGGGCGCAGGATCAGGCACACCGGTAGCCGCATCCTCCTCCGCATCCTCGTCCGAGTCGAGAATGATTATGCAGGGCGAGGTGTCGACACCACCGCTTCGTGGGGCCGCCGCCGCCGCTGCTGCCTGACGGTCCGTTTTGATTGGCGTGAGAAGAGCGCTGTCCGAGGGGCTGGCCGACTCTCCGCCGGCGTCTTCGCAACGCCTCGCCTCGCTGCCCGAGGCGCGCTGGTCGTGGCCGTTTTGGCGCAGGCGACTGCTGTTCTCCAGCTCACTTGCCGTGTCCACGGCCCTGCGCCAATGCCCATCGGCGTCCACTTGAAGACGCTCCGCGTTGCCTACTGATTTGTCGCGCAGCAACTGCAGGAAGAAGCTATTGTCGAGGGGAGATGGAGGGGAAAAGAGGTTGATAAATGCGGCACACTCGGACAAAAGGGCGAATTCCAACCACTTACTCGTCCCTCCTCAGGTCGCGGAAAGGAGCGGGACCACTGCAAACGGGACACGTCCACCTTGGACGCTGTTTATTGATTGTCAGGTAAGAAGCGAGGTCGTAGCACTGAAGGTGATCACAATTTACTGACCGAACGGGAACCTGCAAGGCGTGAGCATGAAAGTGTGCATTTTGATGGGCACTGCACTGGTACCCGAAGGGCAGTCTACTTATATTGTTTCAGTAGACATTATATTACGTCTGAGAAAGGAGGCTTACTTCGATTCGAGTTAAGGTGAGGGGACAGAGCAGGGTGACTGGGATCCAATCATCACAGAGCAGATCGTCTTGAGAAGATATTTTCTTTTTGAGCATTTCCTAAAAAAAACAAACAAGATTTAGCCTGACATCGTACCTAGGATGGAGCTACGGTAAGTTATTGACATTTTTACGGGCGAGCCCTATCGACTGGTATGACTTGTGTATGCTACTGACAACCAATAAGTAGCAAGATTGAGATGATAACGGCGTGCTTAGGGCGATGTCAAATAAGTCGCTTTTTCTCAACAAAAGCTAGCAATTTCGGTATGTAGTATACTACTTAGAAAATGATAAGTAACAAATCACCACACTGAAACCTACCAATGTTTTAGGAACCGATATAACTCTCTCGGTAGAGGCACAAAAATCGTAGCAGCCGAACAGCTGATCGGGAGTAAACTTGGGCAGACGGTAACCGCCGTAGACGCTATCGGCGGCAGAAGGCATCGCTGGGAAGCCCACGTCGCAGGGTTTGCCAGCCACCGCGGTGGAGAACTCTCGCACGAACTGGGGTATGGTCTGGACACGGTCGAGGGTGACCTGCACCAGGGGCATATTGATCACGTGGTTCATGATGGGGGAGCAGGTACCGGAACCAACCACCTCGAGCAGGGGGGCCGCGTGGTCCTCCAGCGGAGCGTGGAGCCACGTCAGCTCGATTTCTACGTTCCGCGTGCGCACCAGGTTGGTGGCGCGAATGGGGATCTGCGAGACAACAAGAAAGCAGATTAGAAAAAACCAATCCGCGAGTGCGTGCTGACAGACAGCCACCGCGTGAAACACATGTGAGCACCTGTGACACTACCTTGTCCGTGATGTCGATGGAGAAGCGCAGCCGGTGGCCGAGTTTAGTGGCCTGTCCGCCGTGGAAGATGGGGTCGGGAAGGGGGACGTTTCGACGGGCCACGCGCACCGCCAGACAACGAGGCAGGACTTCGGCGGCGAGGGCGCGGTTGGAGTTGTGCGGGGACTTGGGCACGTAGAGGCCTTGTGTGGCCCAGGCCAGACGCAGCACCACTCGATACTTGTCCAATCTACAGCGCGGACAACACGCCAGCCAATGAAAAACAGCCGAAAGCTACTCGGCGTGGTTGTTCCGACATCACTCACCGATTGTTCGTCGATTTGGCTTGTTCGTTGAGAAAGCCGATGAGGTTGAGGTCCAGTTCGATGTTGAAGACGTGGATCATGTAGTCCGTGTGGAAGCCCAGGGTGAGGGCGTTGGGTTTGCTGCCGGAGATGACCGCCATCAGCGGCACAGAGGAGACCTTCTGATCGGCGAGGTCGCGCAGCGTGCGGATCATGTTGTCGGGGTCGGGGTATTGGTAGAGGAGGCTGGAGGGCGCGGCGAACTTGACCGGCCGCAGCAGCGCGACCGGCCGCAGAAACGGCGACTCCGAGTAGATGCCGAGGGCGTCGCGGGCGCACAGATCCGTGTTAATCGCCTTCACAATCGCCGTTTCCGCGTCCACACGACGCACCGGCAGAAACTGCTGAGCCAACGACGACGTAGGACCCTTGGCAATGGCTAAAAGCGGAAATATTTTCCAAAATCCAGGCTCTTTCCAAGAATGGGAGGGAGGTATTTAGAGCAACAGCGGCCTACCCATGGCGTAGATGGCCAGATCCTTGGCGCAGACCATGTTGGGGTTCAGCGTGGTCTGCTTCGACTGCATCGCCTTGTTCGGTTTCAGGAGTCGGAGGGGCAGCGAGGGTGTTGGTGCCGGAGGCACATTCGGAGGCGCCAGACGCACGACGTTGTTGGCGTTGTTGTTTACCTGGTGGGTGTTTGGCTGAGGCGGTCGGATTGCCGTGACGTTGGCTGCGTGCGAAGGGTGTGGATTCGGTGCGAGGTTGCCGGGAGCACGGACACCCGGCGGGAGGCTACCAGCTGTGACAGCCGTCAGAAAAAAGTTGTTGTAGGGAATGACGCCGGCTGAAAAATTCCAACAATACACGATTAGTTAGCCAATAGAATGCAACCGACGTTCCACCGAGTCAAGCAGCGCATGTTTAAAAATATGCCTACTTACAAAGTTAAGTAGCATGTTTTACCAAAAATATTGATTTTGGAGTTCGACACACTACACCTAATTCGCCTCGAGCATGATTGGCGGCCCACTGAATCGTGACAAAAACGGTTCTCGAGTCAGCTTACTTTAGAGTCTTAAAAAGACCGTCATAGAGCGTTCAAATGCCATATTCTAATAGAAAAAAAGAGATAATTGACGCAGTTTTCAAATTCCCACAGAATTCGAAGTTTCCGTGGAACATCGTAGTTGATAACAAGGTGCTCGTAATCACCTACAAAAGGAGACTCGTTGGTGTTCACGATTTTGCCAATTTGCGGACTGTGAACGCGAGAACTGATCACACGAGCCAGAAAGATAACCCGAGGCCCTAGCAACCAAGAGTGTCCTGCTGCTGACGTATCGAATAAAATCCACAAAAAACGATAAGCGTCAAATCATCATTTGTCTGTAGTTTTACACGAATTTTTTTTCAGTGATCGCACTTTAAAGCTTTTAACGAACTGCTCCCATGGCAAAGCTAAACGACGCGGAGAAAAAATCGATCAGTTACAAATTTAGGCTGCAAGTAGAAAATCGATAAGATATCTCTAACGGTATTGGTTGGCAACTTGGGCGTGCGGTGTGAGAGATGGAGGCGGCGGCGGCGGCGGTGGTGGCGACGACGACCCGACAGCGAACCAATGATGACTAAGTGCATTGTTACGCTGGTGACTCCAATCCCGAGAGCCCACAGCACGTGCAGAAAGCGCGCGAGGGCGCACGCACGCACACGCCTAAGCGCACGCGTCTGTCTGGCTCACAACAGACAACAACCTTGGCGCGACCAATGAGAGTGCGAAAGTAAGGCGCGCGTGTGCACCTATCAGATTTCCGGAAAGTCGAGGCGCATCACGCGAGAAACCATCGATCGATAAGCGCGAACACGCGCTACTTTCAGGGCAATTAGCGACCGTTGCCAGCGTAGGATTGAAAAAAAATTCGTAGAAAAAGTCACCCGTTCACGTTAGCGCACGCGGGTAAAAAATAAAAGTGATTCAGAGAAGTTGTCGAGGGACTCAGGTACAGTCAAAATGTGTTTTTTGAAAAGTTTGTTGTGACCTAACGAGGACAACAGAGGGTCGAACGCGTTCGCTGAAGTTTGACTGGCGTACATTTCACACAAGCGCACAACGTGCATTTTTTACACCTCATTGGATGCCTTAGGCAGAAATCGACCAAGATATCACGGAAACCCCTTACTGTTAAAAGTATATGTGCGTGGTTTCGACACGACCGCACGCCAATCAGATAACGCTGTTAACAAACCAACAGAGCACACAGTTGATGGAAATAGACCCCCAGGGGAAAAGTGTAGTCAAGCTCTGACACATCGATGACACAAAAACGAATTTTCCACGAGCTCTACTGAAATCAATTCAGCGACGCGTCGAGCCAGATATTAAAATGGACCCCAGAGTGACCATTGCAAAATCTCGAGACAATAATTTGAGCACCACGCATGACGAGAACTTATTTCGAGAAATAATTGACCGAAAAAAAATCATGAAGCCAAAGACTGCATGACTCACTAGATTAAGGACACTGATTTTTGCTGAACTAAGTAATCACAGGCATTTGTTGCTTATATTGTATCATAGAAATATGTTGACTTAATGTTACTTTCTTTTCAAAAAGACATCCACAAAAAACAACCAATAGCGTTTGAAGGCAGAGCAAAGCAATGCTACAGACAAAAAATTCCTGCACAAGCTTGAAGGACATAAAATACATCAACTGACAGAGCAGGAATGATGGGCGAAAAGAGCTGAAGCGCAATACACAAAGGAAAAAAGTCGGTGTTTTTTAAATGGCTTTGAAAAGAGTGCTGTATACTGACAATTGAAAATTCCGAGTACGAGTTAATGACGGTGCGTCCGAAAATAAAACTGCCAAAATATTTAAAGCACACCCACGAAACAAAATATTGGACATACCCGGAAGCCTGGGTGGGTTGCTATTGGGATTGGGTATGTATCCCGGACGATGCATTACTTGGGCACTGGTCAATGGTGCTTTTCCCATCGAATAATTGCTATTACTTATGTAATTAGCTGCACCGTAGTTGCTTGGCCGAATATCACGGTTCATGATACGGCAATAAGTATTATCTAAAATAGGCACGATTATTCCTTCATACAGCTATCGGGAGTATTTTATCCGGTAAACTTAGTTGCTGCCATTAATGATATTCAATGATACTACAAACCAGTACAAAAGAACTGCAGAAGCAACAGAGGTGTGTGTTGTCCTTACCGACAAACCAACACATGCGTGTCTAAGAAAAATACACAGTGAAAAATAGTACATTGAATAGATTTTTTATTTTGATTGCTTAAAATAAAGTTTCATGGAAATAGATATGTATAATTAAAAAACTAATGAAATTATAGCAGTAACTGCAACCCAGAAAAGTGCTAAAAACGAATAAGCAAATGCAGAGACAAACCAGTAACTTACCAGCACAAATACTGACCGTTTAAGTTAACGCTGATTTTCGCAGACCTTAATTAGACCCAATCAGATTACAGTGCTAACCATAAACCAATCCCCTTCTAGAAACCGATTTCATGGTTTCAAATTTTTCGATATTTTAAAATGATCATTACTAATTTTTAATCAAAAAAATATTTAAAAAAAGGATTGAATTTTTTTGCAAGTAACGCATTGAAAATCCTTGGAAGAAATTGACCTCAATACATTTACAACTAGACACATTTTCGTGACGAAACACTAATCCAAAACTTCTCTCAGAGCAATGTCTTTTTCAAATGCTGTAATAGTTTTTATTTTTGTTTTTTTCAAGGTGGCTTATGATGGTCATCCTGCATCACTTAAACTCACGAACATAGAGCATTTGATGATCCAACAAACCTGCGGCCCTGTACGACACTAATCCAGGGGTAGATTACGAGATCTTAGGTGTAAAGAAAAACCGTACAATAGACAAAGCTTTTCTGCCAAATCATAACCTAGAATCCTACATTACATGTCACCCACCCGAGTCTACAACTTTAGCTGCGCGGTCCCTTATTTACCACGCATCAATAGTGTCTCTCACTGGCTGGATGCATACCTTCCTCACCCGTAATTCGATTCCAAAAACAGCGGATTGGCTGAGTCGTGAATGGTATAAAATGTCTGCGCTCTAGTACCTAGTTATTGTCGAATACCCGAGCCCTTATAGGAAAAAGACCGGTACAACAGAATAGGCTTTATTGATCAATCACAAGCCAGAGCCACAATTCATGCGCCTTCTATCCGAGTGCACCACATTGGCCTCGCTGTTCCTCATTCGTGTCTTTCTCTGGTTTGCCGCCAATCTTCTTCACATGCTATTGGAACACGTATAGACACTGAGGCCAATGTCCAACATGTCTGCGCCCTAATCCGACGCCACACATGGGTATGGCAGATAGCCGCCATCTTGGTGCTGAGTCATTGGTCGAGAATGAGCAGCACGGCGCGATGGTGGCGTCATGTGACCAGGAGCGTGACTTCCAACTTCGCGCCGTCATGTAGACATTGACTGTCGCGCTGGGAAACGAAGGCCAATCCATTCATGAGTTTTCGGTCTGCATTGCAAAGAACGGTGCGACAAGGCCGAGGTCCTGTTTTCCCATATGGCGCGAAAAAAAATTAACATTAAAAGATGCCCAAAGAACAATTCAGATAATTTCAATTATATTTCATATAAATGAGTTAAACATTTTTTTCAGGTATTAAAAACTGGAGTACATTCATTTTTTGCCATCTTCGTATCATGCAAATTTTAAAACACTAGAATATATGCGTGGTGTGCATAAATAAACTATGGAAAATAGTGAAGTTAACTTACGGTTTCAGTACATTTATTGTCAGTCTTTAGATTTTGCTATCATTTTGTTTATTTTGGAACATTTTTCTTGCTTGTAGAGCCGATTACCTCGTAACACCTGAAAATGAAATATTTCCTCTTTCATTGATATCGAAAAATTTGAGCTGCTTAACTGCTTTTAAAACGTAAGAAAAAGCACTGAACGTGTGTGAGTTGATCACGTGACTGCTTACTGACGAAATATAATAAAGATGCATGAAAAAATTTTCCGTTCATTTTTAAGTATTTTCAACTTTAATTTCTAGTAATGTGAATTTTTAAATTCAATCTTTGCATGTCCGTCGGTAAATATAGCAAAATGACGTTTTTTTTGATTCCAAGCGGTTAGATGGGATTTTTATTTGGTCCCATACTCCGAGTGAATACGCAGCAAAAATCACGTTAACCTTGCTGTCAGCCAATCAAATTTACTCACCCGAGAGTTGCGGATTTTGAGAGACAATATTTGAGACTGCACCTGGCTAAATATCGACATATTGAAATCCACCGAAACACCACAAAAACACAACTTAGAATTCAAAAGGACATCTGTTGGCTTCGGTTGTTAATTCCTCATCGTAGCGTGTCAGAAAATCAAATTTTGGAATGGAATAGTGAAATGTACAATGCCATTTGGATGGGTTTAGTCGTTGTGATGTCACTGCGCGCAACATCCTTAAGTCAAGAAACGTTATTTTTGAAATTTGCACGATTCGAAAAGAAAAGCTAACAGTGCACGAAGTTAAAAGTTATAAAATGAACCTACAAGTAAGTAAGTTGTTCTTTTGTGGTGCAAAACGATTACTAGAATGGTTAACACGACCGATTATTTAATTACTTACCTTGAACGACTTAAACCTATCTAAGTCGTGCTATAAATTTGGTGTGCAGTGGATTTCCGCGTAGTGGTACTCAGATCGCATTTCACTGTCAACAACCAGCGTTTCACACAAAAAAACTTTTCAACTTGATCAAAATTATTGATCGTAACTGGTAGGTAGCCCCACAGACTCCTTAGGTAGCTCCAACTTTGTGCCACTGTATTTAGCAGTATTTAACACATCTGAAGACGATAACAACAACAACAACAACAATGATGATGATGATGGCCTAAATTTGCGCCCTCTTTAATCTTGTGCTGATACCTCAGTTCAAAGTATGCCGTCTAGTTTGTGCACCCGCCAAGATATTTGAAATAATTTAAACAAACAATACAAAAAAATCCATTTATTCACAAGCTCTTAAAGGTGTGCAAACGTTATAAGGAGAACTATACACTGCCCCATGCTTCATTCCTCACCTGTCATGTGACCAGTTCTGATTGAGGTCGCCTACGAAAACGCTACTCATCATGTTGACTCACTTTACGCATAATCAGCGTTAATTTAGTCGACAGAATGAACATTCCTGGAGTAACTTGTGTCCACTGCTTCTCCAATCGCTCATTGGTTCATGAATCCTTCACATTTTCACTATTTCCCACGCACAGAGTCGTCAACACACCCCATGGACCCGGTGGGCGTGTGTACTGTCAATCGGTACTTGATTGGTGCACTCAAGGACGGCCACAAAATCAGGTATCCTTCGAGTTTTAGGCTTAGAGTAAACCTAATCTTCGTCTTGTCAAGTTAACCAGTTGTGAATCGTGTTTAGTCACACCCCCTAATCCGGCCACTCCAGCCTCCGACACAGGGTCCGCCTTTTCGCTGTTTGTCGCTACCCACGCGGATCCTCAACTCTCGCCTCAATAACACGAACACTTATTCTGGATTATCCCCACGCCTGGGTCTCGAGATTAGCGCATGCAAGACTCACACATCCCAGCTATAAATGCCATCCATGACACAACGACACCAACGTGGTTGACCTCTGAAGTGAACGGTCGTGCCCACGTCGTCCTCTCCGGTCTTTTTCTTCATTGTGGGTGTCAGAGAAGCGTAATCGGGCCAGGGTTAATTCTATGCCCCCGGCGTAGTTCAAGACCACATGCTGGGGTCCACAACGAAATCCAAACCAGATTTGGTTTAGGCTCGTAAATTTTGTCAAAAATGGTGCCTTAAAAACCGCAGATCATCTGATGGTGTGACATCATCGCTAACAGCCGCTCTTGAGTTGCCAAAATGTGTGCGACATTACATACTGTGGTGAAATGCGACATCACGGCAATCTGTGGATTCCGAGCACTATACGAGTCTAAATTTCATTGGCTGTTGACGGCAGGTATCGGTGTGGATTATCTTCTACGAATCACCACAATAATCATCCACGATTTATGCGATCGAGGCCATTTGGATTACTCCAAATATACCTCTCTCTCACAGATATATAAACACGATCTGAACCAATCGAGACTATGAGGGGGAATCAGCGTCGTTGAAAGGTACTGCTACTGCAAAAAATCGATATCCGTAATTTTTTAACAATAAAAATCATAACACTGACGACATATATAAAAAAGTTATGTATTTCTAATGAAATTAGGTTATGTAAAGCGAGGGAGTTTATTTGGGTTTTAATAAAAGGTACGTTACGAACAAATCTAGCAGTGGATCAATACGAGGCACAGAAGAGGCGTTAACACGCCTCTGTCCGAACGCCTTGCCTTTGCTAGACTGTCGAGACGATTTCGAACCTGAATCACTCGAGTTTGTGGTTCTGCGCCGCACGCCGTGAGGCTGACCAGGATTGGGTGGAGTTTGGTGAAGCTGATTGATCACTGTTGGTTTAATTAGATCGTCGTTTCCACAACAATTCGCGTCTTTTAGTTCCGCTTCAGTGGACGATTCCGGGGGTTCTTCCACACTTGCTGGAGGGGATTCGCTTGACGCATCCATTGAAAAGCGTTCTTTGATGGATGTTGGATCTACTAATACCGATTCAAGAGTACTTGATGTTTGCGCAGCGATTTCCGGTTCAGCCACACCGAGGGAGTTGCCATTTCTCGTCCTTACATGAGGCTCCTCAACATCTACCTCTCTCGAATCGATCAATTCTTCAAGGACAACGGGATCTTCATTCGTGGAAGCAGCGATCTCGACGAATTCACCGGACTGATGTCGACTACTTCCATCAGTTTCATCGAAACCATTCACCTTACCTTCATCACAGACAGGTGGGATTGTCAGATTGTTCTCTCCACGTGCGGCATCACTTTCGTGGTTTTCCGACTGTAGATTTGTGGATTCACTGGGGATGATTTGATCGGTTAGAGGGGATTTCGGTGGAGTAGCTTCAAGAGTCGTGCTTCGTGTTGGATTGATCCAGTCTGCCCCAGTTTCAACAGGTGGGCTTGTGGGTTTTTTCGATTCCGCCGATGTCAGCCTCGTTGGTTTGAGACCAAACACACTGCAGTAGTCCCTGTAGGTGATAATACCGGTGTTGTCAGGATCAAACAAGGAAATCCACGCCGTAACAAAGCTCTCCTTGTAATGCATACGACGCATATATTGCTTAAGCTCACTGATTGTAATTACACCGGTATTATGGCTATCTATAGCGAAAAATGCCTTCTGAAAGGCAGCCATGGCGTTAGCCTCTCGGTAAACTTACAAACGTGCCTCTAATCCGACAAGACGTGGTTACACTGACCTTGATGTCGAGTGCGGCGTTGTGGGCCAATCAAATTGGTCGGCGTAGTTGGCGCGCTCTTCAACTTCGCGCACACAATTCTGCTAGGCTCCGCAATTGGTTGGAACGGACCACACCCCATTCAATGTGGTGATGTTATAAATAGCAACAAATCAAGTTCCATTCAACGAGGCTAATCTTTGCATTGAAGGTGGTTAAAATGTACTGGGTTGGGTTAAGGTTGGTCTTGAAGCGATTGTCACATTCAGAATTATCGATTTGTGCAACTTCGCTAGATAAGTTAAGCCAATTTTTCCTTGTTACTTACTACAAATGTGTCCACACATCAGACCGTGTTGTCAAAAAGACGAGAAAGGAAAGGATTCGGACCAATTAGTGAACGATTTTCGTTCTTTGTTCAAATTCGCCACAAAAATTCCCCAGTCCATCAGAGATTGGCATTTCAGAATCAACACGGATGTCTAATGTGTGCGCCGGTAGTCAATTTCCTGCCAACCTTTACTACCACGCTTGTCACTCGGCTTCAAATACAAACCATGTCGAAGCATGCAGGACTCTAATTGACAGCGAGGTACTTTAAGAAACGATTTCACCAAAAACAACGTTGCTTACATTCTGATTGGCTGGTGTTGGAGTTGGCGCCCCATTCGATAAGAAATCAGAAGCCAATGGTGGTTGAGCGGCGGGAAACTAATGTTTTGTCCTTTCTTCGAACAAGCAACACTTTATGCAGATATTCAAGATATTCGCATTACAACATTTCCCCACAAATGTAATTTTATTGGCTGAAAGTTGGTTAACCACATTCATTCACATAAAACTGAAAGTTACTTCATGGTATTCAATGGTTCTGTGGCTAATCCACTAACCAATGAGATGGGCATTTCAACCGTGACCCTGAAACTACCAATAGGCGCTGAGACATCGTGACGCGATGGCCACGGCGGTTTTTTGTCCGCTAAACGCGGTGAGTCATGAGGGTGGAGGCGAGAGCAGTGAATGGAGGGGGGTGTGAGTAAGGCACACGTAAATCGCCATTAAACTGCACCATTTCCATCAACACTAATTCCTACAACTTCAAAATTAATTTTTACGCAAATCAGCCTCAGAGGTTGTAGAGCGCCGCAGTTACACAATACGTCGTTATAGCAACCGAAAGTACTAACAAGGTCACATAAACCAGAGAGTCCACGATAGGCGGTTGGTGATTAGTGATGGGTATTGCAGTTAACGCCATATCGATCGCACCTAATTACTGCTCACGTCATATCGATCAGGTTGAAATTAAGCACAGCTCACATCTGACTATCGCTCAACGTCTGCAATTCGAATTTTATTTTGAAAAAGAACAATTATGGAAGACATTTATGAGTCTGTCTTAAGAGCAAGGTATCAAGGCCTCCTTGAAAGGGTTGCGTTGCTTTCTTAGTTACCAATTATAGAAGGTCACCGCTAAAGTCCCTGGCTCATCTTTTCAAGACATGACTTAACTATAAATGAATTTTTACGGTGACAGCCTCGGTGTCGCATCAGACGAGCTAGGAAAAGTAGTTGTGTAAGCTTGACTTTGTGAAAAGACTACATGACAAGGCGCAAAATTTGATTAGAATGATTAAAAAGGACAATTTTCCAAGCGATTGGCTCATCACCAGCGAGTCAAATTCGCGTGTCGATTAAACCCGAAGTCTAACCAGTGGGATAACCAGAATTTCTTCCTTAGATTACTCAATTAACTCCTAACTTGTGTAGTATATCCGCTGTGAATAATGATATCGAGTGTTCCAAAATATTCAAAATATTCACGTAATTCGCTGATCAATAAGATTCAACGTCTGACCAATGGCGTTACAGGATATTCTGTTTAACTTGAAATCAATCGATCAATTCTGCACATGTGTAGTTCACACGCTGTGGAGGCTGCTGTCGCAAGACCCCTTGCTGTGAATTTGGTCGACCGGAACTGACAGTCAATATTCGACTCAGTTCTTCGAATATTGACTGCTGCGTTGGGGTCGAACAAGGCTGCTGTGCGATGCGTCTGCAGGCTCCTTTTCATGAACACGCCTAAGTCACAGACGTCAACTAGAAGGGCATTGCTGATTGGTCAATTTTGAGCAGTCATGTTGGGGTACTCGG